TCTGTAACATAGACCTGCACCAGGAAAGCAAAAGCAGGAGTATAATAACAGAAATCAAGCAAAGAAGAACGAAAGGGCTGGGACACGTGATGAGAATGCCCCAGAGCAGGATACCCAAAACAACCGTACATTGGACGCCACCTGGAAAGAGGAAGCGATGTAGACCACGAACATGGGGAAGAACCATAACATCAGAGTTAGAGGAAATGGGCTACTCGTGGGGGCAGGCAAAGTACGTGGCAAAGGACAGAAGAAGATGGAGACAGCTTGTTGAAGCCTTATGTCCCATTGGGGACGAAGAGGTTAAGCAAGACCTTGAGGAACAAAGTTGGAAAGAAGATGGGCGCATTTGACGAGTGATCTGCAGGAATCATTTCTACGAAACATTTATGGTTTAAATGTCCATGATTTGGTTGGCTGAACATAGCTGGTCAGATTTTACAAACACGTCCATAGGTTTTTTTCATTTAGTTTGAAAGACATTTTGAAATTGTAACATTTAAGTCCGTTTTTCCTAGGGGGTATTAAAACATAGTAATGTTTCACAAAAAATAAACACCTAAAATATTTAACGCATAGATGCATGATACGTGCACATGTACATTATGGAATAGAAGATTAGAATTGATTTCGCTCGAGAACCAAACTGAACTACATTTATCTAATTCAAAATTTTAATACATCAGTACATAAAACGAAACTAACTAAATAAATGGTTGCTTGCATGGGAAAAAAATTAATGCCCCATGCCAGGCTCGAACCAAAAACTTTTCACAATGAGTGCACTGAATTAGTAACCCAACTCACTGAGCTATCGCCGCTTCATATATACAAATGATTTTAAAAGGACAAAGAAGCACCACATTCACACATTTGGATTTTTTGGGGAAATGTTCATTTTTCGTGGTCTCTGGGTCTTCTCTCCATTTTTTAAAAAAGTACATGTATATTCGTTTCTTTGAATTAAAATACACACAAATAACGTTTCAAAATCATGGAGAGAAGACCCAGAAAGAGAAAATTTTTAGCAAAACGTGTTTAAAAATGTACCATTTTGTACTAAATGTCTGATCTGGGCAATTTTCAAATTATTTTTTAGCAAAACAAAGCTGAATTTCCGGAAAACATTTTCATTTCCTGTTGCACAGGAACCCGATAAATTAAAAAAATGTTAAAATTTCACGTGACATGTTGATAAAATTTTCACTTTTCAATTACGCCCAGATTCCTGCCGAATGTCAATCAAAAGCGCCCTCGTTCTTTCTATTTTTAGTTTTGTGTGCAGTCGAGGCGAAAATTTGATTTTCTTTATCAATATCCTATGCAGAGTTGTAAGAGCGTTTCTACATTTTCATTGCAACTTACCCATAATATACACAAGAGGATGGAGGCAGTAATAGTTTGTCCAAGCAGACTTTATTGACTAAGAATTGTGCTCAGCTAATCATAGTGCTTAGCATCAAAGTCCTCCATTTCATTTTGATATTAAATAAAATAGACGTAACAGTAGTTAAGGCATCAATCACAAAGCAAAAATGACAATTTTCGACATGCATATATATCTAAATTTTAAACATATATTTTTCATTTATTTAAAAAGCATATTTTAATTTGACCAAAAATAATTTAATCAAACTTTTTTATTTGCAATTTATAAAAAAAAAAATATGTCATAAAATCTAGATAATCTAGATAATTATGTCGCTCAAAAATGCCTTTCTTGCTTCATGATATATAGTCTACTACTTCTTGCAATCATCATGGTAATTGCAAATGAATCCCATCATGACAACATAGGTTTTTTCTGATAGAAAACTATCCAAGAAATTTCAAATAACTGTTTTAATCAGAAATGGCCAATGAAACAAATTTGTTTTCGTTTTTTTTCAACAATATTCACATCTTTAGTATAAAATACTATTATACAAAACAAGAACCAAAAACAATAAAAACTTACAAAAATCTATCATTCAGACAAAGGTGAGAGAAATTTCACTAAACTACATAAGTATCAAAAATATGTACCAGGTATACATGACCTAATATGCCCTTACGTGTGTGTACATAAGTAAATACTTTTGCTTGTGTAACATTTTTAAAACAAATTTAAAACATTCTCCTTCCTCCGGTATTGCTAGGCATTGAGATATTTCTTTAACCATTGTAACAGTTTTGACACATAAAATTTGGTTCCACTCAATTTTTCAAAAGGAAAAAAATTACTTAATGCCACCAAAAAAAAATGTACACCAATATTCATAACATAGTTAACACACTGAAAAAAAAGATTCAAGGATTCTTTCTTACAAAAACTGAAAACAATATTATCACAAAATAAACTTTAAAAAGAACACAGTACTAAACATTCAGAGGATTTCTAAATGGAATGAAGTTTACATGACCCATATAAAAAATAAATATATGTAGATGTCCAATTCATGATAATGAGGTCGTTGTGCATGCATTAATGGTGACGATAATGAAGTATGTACTGAAAGCTGAATATAAATGGAATGAAAGCATAATATGCAATAGTTTACATGTACATTAAGCAGATATTACTTTTAATTGCCTGTTTTATAATAATTTCTTAATATTAAAATACTGGTGAAGCGATTTCTATACAGAAGTTAATTAAGTATATCATACATGTACAGTTCTTAAAGCTTTTTTAAATGAACATTAACTATGGTAAATGTTTTATAATTGACCGTACAATATTTATTGCATCCTGCTACATAATAAGAAGATAACGTGTTTACATTCTTGATGACAATTAAATCTACATAGAATTGAAATACTGGTAAATGCATATAATGTTAAATATGCTTTCTCTTTAAGTAGATTTCAAACTGTCTTCATATTGATTGTCAGTGTGCAATTTTTTATTCCTACTAAAACAGGCTTTACGAACACAAAACATTAACTTCAAGCACATGTCTTTCAAATGCCAGGACAAATAAAAACATTTCTTTGAGACAGAGGATCCACATTTAACAAAATTAATACACTGATTGACTAATTGATTTGAGAAATTTGCATGTTAAACAATCAAGTTCCTACTACATGCTGGTATCTACACAATCTCTGAGTTGAGTTACATTTAGAAACCCTAGGATGTGGGTATTATTTCAAAATCTCAGGAAGTAAGTTTAGTTAAATGTAGAAACAACAGGAAGGAAGTTCAATCAAGAAAACACAGGAAACAAGTTTAATTGAGAAATTATCAGTAAGTCTCTTAAATTAAGTTACACTAGGCATTGTACATTTATCAAGGAAACTAAGAATCTGTGCACATGTAATTGTATTATCAAACCAAACACCTAGCTGGCAAGATGTCTCTTAATTGATATTTACTTCTAAATGCTCCTGTTTTCTATTAAATTAAAAAAAAAATATTTTTATTATGCAAGACACGGAGAGAGGAAAGTGACAAAAAAATGACCTTGAACCTTTCCCTAGCACTAATATTTCTATATAAAAATGTGTTCTTTTCAAGGTATAGTTACACATGAATACTTTTTTTTTCCAAAGACAACATCAGAACACAATAAATCAGGAAAACAATTTGCAAACAATTCTTACTAAACCTTCAAAGTAAAATGCTTCATAAATCAATCAAAAATGTTTGTATTATAAAATTCACTTTACATTTCCAGACAGATATATAACAATATGTCATAATGTTCTACCCCATTTAACCATGAAAAAAAAAAATTTCAATGCACACATTAAGCAGATTGTCAATAAGTATGATAAGAGATCATTTAACACATTTTATAAAAATAATACTATAAAGTTCAGCTTCGTCTTGTTATACAGTTAGCATACATGCCAACTTTCCCGATTTAGGCGGGATCCTCCCGATTTTACCCTTTCATCCCGCTTTCCCGATAAATCAATTTGAAAAAAATCACCAAAATTTCCGATTATAAAAGATTCCCTACCGCTGAATTTTGACAATCGGGATAACAATGTCAAACTTGTTTATTCAATGCACTCAGATAAGTTTCATTGTTTATTTAACAATGTTAATTAGCCACAGGAAATCACTTCACGCTCGAACGCACGCAGTTGTCCAGGTACAAGTAGCTTATAGCTTGGGGCAATTAGGGGATTATCTTGTCAGTTTTAAGGGGTATGCAAGGTGAAACACATAGATTAACGCGTTAATTGTTAGTCATTTTATTAAAACAAAAATCAAAGACAATGAAATACTAATCAAACTATAAAAATCGGAATCCAAAGAGATCGTTTTTTGAAAACGAAAGTAGAAAACTACTAAGCATAGCTGCCGATTTTATCTACCTATAATGAAAAATATTGTAAAGTTTGCCAGTTAAAATATTATGAAATCAAGATGAAACAATCAAGTGTATGTTAATTAGAATTTCTTTTTCCTTCCTTCTCCCAAAAGTAATATTTTATAGGTATGTGCATGACTTAAGGAAATACCCACATTGCACCATCAAGACTGACAAATTTCATGACTGTAAAAAAAATAGTTCTCCTTTGGATAGGTGGTATAAATTTCAGTAAATTTAATACCTAATTAGAATTTCTAATTAATTGAAATATAAATAAAAAATCTCAAAAATGTTTCCAGAAACAGGACTTTACAGTATCAAAACCTCATATATTTTTTAGCCTTTGAAAAAAATGATTTAAAAGTTGTACAATTTTCAATTTCTCACTAAATTATGTGTCCTGGTAGAAAAAAAAAACCATGTTTTTAATGAGAGAGGCACTTATTTTAGCAAAAATATTTCAATTTTAGAAAAAAAAAAACATTTTTTTTTTTTTTTTTAATTAATTTTTTGTGTTAAATTAATCCTTGAGTTGTATTAATCAGTGATATCAAATATTATAAATTTTAAAAAAAGATCATTTCATTATCATTTAATTTCACGAGAAAATGTCGCGAATTTAAAGCTTTGAAAATTGTCGTCACGCGCTAAATCCCCCATGGGAATTTTCAAAAGTTGGCATGTATGAGTTAGCACTAAATAAAACTACTGTAAACCAACTTTTATTCGCATGCAAGAAATATTCGCGAGTTTCGCGACCTACTTAAAGTCGTGAATATTAATCATTTATTTTTCTTTGTTTTTGTAAAAAAATGTTTCTTTATTTGTGAAAATTAATTGCCCCGGATTGATTTCAAACTGAGGAATCGCATTAAAAGATGACGAAAATAATAGTTGGTTGACAGTATATTACAACATGTATAATGGTAATAATGGCAGATTGTTTACGTAGCTGCATAATGTTTCAAGTCATTCCAGGGTGTAGATTATTTAACATGTAAACCATACACACGTAAAATATACACTTTCACCAGAAAATTTCCATTTCTATGCTGCAAGTGTCTAGCCAAGCATGAATGTGTTGCATCATAGATTTATCATGCAGTCTAACAGAATATCTGGTACAATACACATATCTATCATGAGTGTAGACTTGGTCTTTTGAAGTTTAATGCAGAGATAGCCTGGTATACTACCTTTAATGCAAAACCTATCTGTCAACTATGAAGGCCAACATTAAACTGACTTTCCTCTCCCAACAAGAAACATGCTTACATAATACATTTCTCCACTGTATAACAGCCATATTGTTGCCTGAATGTCTAATAGCCCCCTAACTCAAAACACTGCTAGATATTCTATTTGTAAACCAAAATGTTCCTAACACAAACACAACATTAGGTTCAGATACAGTTGAGTAGGCTCAGTGAGGTCATTGGTCAGGGTCAGTAGGTGCCCCCTCAGCTCCTCCACCTGGGCGGGCAGCTGTTGAAGGTCACGGTCATCCTCCCTAGGTAAACTGTTCAGTTCTGACTTACTCATTACGGCTTTTCTTCTGGGCGTATTGTGGCCTTTTCCTGCAAGAAGACAAGATCAATTTGAACCCCTTTTCATATTTACATGATTTAGTTGGACTCACTATTACCATGATTACTATATCATTTCATATAAATTTTCTACAATAATTTTTTTTCCCATCATTTAAAAAAGAGGACTATTTAATAATATGGAGATTCTTTTCTAATTTTGAGCAATTTTCTTTCCGTCATGTTTTTTAAAATTCAAAAATTTGGCCATACCCATGATAATAACATGAGTGCAAATTGTTAAACTTTTTTTAGGGACAGCAAGTTCTGTGTCGAAATTTTAAAATGCTAATATTGATCCCCTCAAATAATACATGAATAATACTCACTTTTCTTACAATGTAGATAACTCTGGGTGGCATAGTATAGTATCATGGCTAGCTCCTCCACCTGTGTGGGAGAGAAGTAGGCTGCCTGGGGGGTGGCGGACCCGTTCTCATCGTCAGACTGGGGGGTCGTGGGTGGGGTCAAGGGCGAGTATCGAGGAGGGAGGGCACAGTAATAGCACTCGTAAATGCTCCTCAAGTCCTGAGGAAGGTCACTGCCAGGCTCAAATGTTTCCTCACAGTGACTCAGCAGTACCAGCGAGATCAGACGGAATCTCAAGATATTTGAGCACATGGTCTCGATGAGTAAGCGTTTATGTTTTATGCTAGTGAGATATATGTATGTCCTAAGCAACTCGGAGCTAACGAGTTTGGCACATTCTAAAGGTGAGGATGAAACAGAAATTCCTAGTGATAACAGTTTCTGCATTAAAGGGAGGATTTTGGGCACTTCCTGTCTTTTCAGGTTTAGCTCTTTGAGATCCTGGTCAGGCACCAATTGTCTTAAATACAATGCATCTTGAACCTCGGGGTACTCCCCACTGGTTACAGAACACCGGATCCAATTGACTAGTTCTTTCAAATTTAAATATCCACAGTCATAAGAAAGTGTTTTGTACACTTTAGTCTGTCTAAGCTTCCTTGGGTCCCTTAAGTCAATGCTATGAAGCTCCTCTTCGAATGACGTAATCAAGACTTTCAAGAATAGACCCACCATATGAAGAATCAAGGGTGCTTGGTTTGACAAGCCTCCACCAATGGACAGCTCTTTCATAAAGTCTTTTAGCAATTCCCAGTCTATTTTTGAGAACACATCTGGATTTTTCTCTTGAATAAGTAACAAAATTTTATACGACTTCAACATGATCTGTGTGTCCCTACTCTCCAACAATCCTTTGATCAGAATGTCCAAGAATATATTTTTCGGAATTGTGTGACTATCTAAATAATCATGAATAAACTGAAGTCCCTGGTCTAAGAAAGCAGTACCCTCTTCAAAGCAACTATTGATAGTGTTAACATGAAGGTTACTGAGTGCATCTGACAATGTCCCATCCACATCATCACTTAGAATCGAAATTCTCAATGGTTTTAAAACTTCCAGCACACAAGGGCCACTAGTGCTGGCTTTTTCTTGGGACGGTTTCTCACTAGTTTCTTGAGTCTGTCGTCTGACACGAACTTTCCGCCTCCTCTGTGGTTTTCCAATTTTAACATCTGGTTTAATTTTGTCTTCCACATGGCTCAGAGAATCTCTCATTCCATCTGCCTCATTTTCAGCGTTATCCAGAATATCAAGGAAGTGTCGCTCGTTCTGATTGGCTACTGCGCTCAAAGAATTTAAACTCTGTGTCCTAGGCGGTGGCGAGTTAGGGTTGCTGCTACTCAAGGACTTGGTGGAGCTAACTCGCTTCAAAATATCTGCCAGCTTTTTCTTGGTGTTCTTGTTGAAGAAATTTTCCACCCCAGGAGAAGATGGAGCAGACGGCGAATCTGAGCTGGGGAGGGTTTTCTGCTGAATCTCTAGTTTCTTGAATGGCGAGTCCTGGTGGTGAGTGAATTTGGATGGCGTTTCCTGAACACTCTTCTCCTGGTGGTGAGTGATTTTGCTTGGCGATTCCTGAACACTCTCCTCCTGGCTGTCTTGACTGTCTATCACTATGGTACAGTTCTCCTCATCCTCAGACAGTATTATCACACTGCTGCTGCTCTCCTGGGGAATGTCCACTATAAGGGAGAAAGGAGTGGATTATTTTGATTTCCAGTCCACAATATTGAATAAGAAATACAGTATATGTTGCATACATAGGGTGTATAGGCTTTGAAAAATGATAACCGCATGAAGTTGAATGGCTTTTTTCTCTAAACCACACATGATTTAATTATAGATTTATCTGAGAATGGCAAACAAAGTTGCATGAATTTTTCCCATACAGCACCAGACAGAATTTTTTTCATACAAAAATTTTACAATTTTAGTTCACACATATAGATAAACAGAAGTTTTAATAAAAAGCAGCTACATTTCAAAATCACTTCACTACAAATTCTCCATTATGATTATCAACAATATGACACTGTACTTTATGAAATATGTTACTGTTCAAACTATAAATACCCAAAAAAATTCTACCTCTAAAATCTTCATCAGAAGAGATATCCTCGTACAGGGGCACTCTGATAGGTTCCAGGTGGTGTTGGAATGGTGTCGAGCACCGCTGACTTTCGGGGGGAGGGGATTCTGGACTCTCCAGCACCACCTTGTGTTCATCCTTCTCCATCTTCACCTTCTCTGTCTTCCACCACCCACTGCTGGAATCTTCCTCCTCCAGGTCTGGAAGATCATCGTCCGAGATGACCTCGTAGATCGGAGGGCCATTTTCCTGCCTTGTCACACTGCAGTGACCTCCCTCTAACTTCAGTACTTTTCTGGGGGGTTGGTTGTCCGGTTCTTCTTGTTTGATGATGGGACTGCATGATGAACTTGTCGATGGTCGGTTGAATTTATTTTTGAAGCTTTTGACGAATTTCTGTACTGCAGAATGGGACACGATTGGGGGTGATTCTGTTTTCTTCCTGAAGTGTTCCTACAAAATGTTCCAAATTTAGTATATAAATAATTAAATTATGTTCATTAAATGCAACAATTATGAAATCATTAAAATCTAATTTCCCCCTAAAAATAAAATGCCAAAATGAAATCAAATTCAAAACAGTGAAATGCATACAAAACACAACAAGTATTCACTGAGAAGGCACATACTTTTATATCCTTAGGGTAATAATCCTGACTTTTAAAAATATCAAAGATATTTGAGACATCTCCAAAATCACAAGAAAACATGTTACTCCTCATTCTAAATCAAATAAATCCAACAAAATATGCCACATAAGAAAAATTCTAATCACAGCTTTTCCTAATCTTGGGTTCTCTGCATTCCTTTATCAAATCCAAAAGAGTGGATTTTAATTGCTTTAATGAGTAACCTATTAAACTCCTTTTATCTTTCCTTGCCCCCAGGGGGTAGGGTAATTATATAATTAGTATCCAAAACAATAAAACAGGAAATGGACTCCAATCTCCTCCACCCCCATTAGTTCACACCAGGAGATTACAGGCAGCAATAGACATAATTAACACACCTGTCCAGTTTCTAACTCTAATGGCCCAATAGAATGGTCTGATAATGTACACCGGGTGATAAATCACAGGTTTCACAAGCATCAGGTGAGATAAATATATATTAGGTATATATGTCACAGGTATCAGGTGACATGTATGTATACACAGATATCAGGTATGTAACCAAGGTATTCCAGGATGTTTATATTGTAATGTGTCCCATCTGGCTTTTTTGACAGATTAACTAAAGGAATGCGATTCCTTATGTTTAAAATAATTTGTTATTTAGGATTAAAAGAAATTCTTAGGGAGATTATAGGAAATGTACATGTTTTTGTTTTATTAAATCTTTTGTTTAACTTTAGATGGATTTTTATTTGTAAATGATTGAGAAAGCAAGTATGCTGTATATTAATTATCACCTTATGTCTATAAGCCAGACTGGGTCAAGGAGGGAGAAAATGTGATTTAAAAATTTACTAAACTAATGTTTTCTGACCTTTGCCATCATGGGAGACTTTGTGCATGGGTGAAGTTTTAGCCAGACTGGGCAAAGAAGGGGATAAATCAATATGGTTTTAGCTCCCTTCTTGGATTTTACACAAAGAAGTTTCAAAACCTAGACCTCTAGAAAATGGTTCATATTTATTAAACTCCCTCTAACCCCTGGTCAGCCCTGGGACCAAATCAGAAGTCTGCAAGGGAAGGACTGGGCCAAGGGGATACAAATGGTTGGACAGCTTGATCTCTATAGGATATGACACTAGATGTCCCCTGTAGAGGTGCTAAGGCTCTAAATGCTGTGAAATTCTCAGAAGTCTGGAATTAAATGCTTTACTTAGATCTAGACAGTGCATAAAATTTAAAAAGGTAGCATATTTTATGGTTCTATTTCTTCTCATGGTAAATATTGATACAATAAATGCACTTGTTTTCCTGATGTGTATATATTTATGATAACTTGACTAGGATTTGATGTTTATGGAATATATAAATTGATCTACAAATGGATGAAGATACATGTACCTCTGGTTAATTTTTGAAGACATGTTATAATTAACAAATTCGATGATAATTACAATTTTAAAATTCATCACATTTATGAAAATTGTGGTTTAAAAAAAATAATGAGTAATTTTCCAGGAAACTTTTATCTATATCAAAAATTAAAATTCAATCATGTTAATAAACATAGTGTTGAGATTTACATTTTTTTTTTCATATATGTTTCTACATTATTTATTAACACCTATAGATAAAATTGGAGCTGATCAAAGCATAGTTTTGTAGACCTCAGTCCTGAATCATTCTAGAAATCAATCATTCAAAATCTACTCAAATATTCATAAAACTAATTATATAAAAATGCAGTCAACTTGACATTCTGAAAAGCATTCATTTTTCATTTCATTATACTGTCTGCATTTTAGTTAGAGCCTAGTCTAAGAGTAGACTATAAACAAGAGATGTTTGTGAAATGCTGATCTCCCCCTCCCTGAATTTTTTTTAAGTCCAAGGGACATTACTCTGTCAGAAATGGCTCAATTCTACCCAAAACAGTGACCTATTTATTCTTATGATAAACCTGAATACCAAATTTCATTTCAGTATGTGCAATCTCTGCAAAGAAAATGAACAGAAACTTGGAGGACCGACAGACAGTAGCAAGCATAACAAAAGGACATTTTTTCAAGAAATCCCTATCAATGTATACATGTATGGTACTTCTAAAAAAATCAAATGCCATGAAAATATCTTGATTCAATCTTACTAACCATTTATAGAAACATCTACTAACAGACCATTTTGAATCAAATCATAACAAAGATAATTTTCCACTTTGAGCATAACACGTACTTTAAATAATTTCCTGGTAGCAGTGAATGCATTGTGTGTCAAAATAAGGAAGTCTGACTTCTATATTAACCTACATCATCATCATCACTTACGCCAAATGCACTTTCCTCTTAAACTTAAATGCAGTGAGAGGTCAACTGACTTGAATTACGGCCTTTGTTTTTGGAAGTATTACAGCAATATAATATACTTTTGAATCTTTTATTTTTTTTTCCTTCTTTTTTGCAAAATAGCGATTTGGCATTTATAAGAGAGACAAAATTTTCACAAACTGCAGTAACTGTTGTATATATAGAGGATATTCAATGTTTTGTAGTTGAATATGGAATTTATATATGTGAAAATAATATTTTACGAGTGCGAAGCACGAGTAAAAATATCAAAAATTCCAGTACATAGTGAAATAAATTTCATATTCAACTACAAAACATTGAATTTTCTATTTATTACAATTTTTAAAAAAATTCTTTAATTTTCCTTGGCCTCTGTCGTTTTGTAATACAGTCATAGGCTCGTGACGTCATAGTTGAGCGGTTGAGACGTCATAGCTATGTGATGTGAAAACACTGTAAACATGGATTTAGCAACATATTTTTGGCAATTTTGACAGTTTTATTCGCTGTCAGAATGGTTTATTTATTTCCATTATATTAGGTCAAGGAAATTTTCTTACAGCAATCTTCGTTATGGAAGGGAAATTGAGAGTTTTGCACTTCTGATATTCATCACACTGTGACAGGATATCATTTTGATATCCTTTCACACTGTGACAGGATATCATTTTTATTCAATGAATAAATTTAAGTATTTCACGGATAAAAATGTAATAAAATATACAGAAGTATAAATAAATATTTTTAATTAGTAGACAGACTCGCCTATATATGTGAAAATAATGTCTACTGTCTAGTAAATATCAAAAGACTGACAGTACTTATTCTTTACAATTTGAAAACTTAAAAATTTTAATGTTATGAACTGCAGTCTGAATCTCACATGACATAGGAACATGAAATTCTTTGTCTTATACAAAATGAAATAAATGATATAATTGTCAACATCACCATTAAGGCAAACTTTCAGTCAACTTCAGGACAAAATAAGAAGGAATTGCACTAATAAAATTTTAAAACATTCATTTCAAAATTCTATTCTATCTAATCCTAAAAACATTGTACATTTTGATAGGAACGTACATGCCCATGCAAAATCATACATGTCTTCAAAAGGATTAAAGTGGCTTAAGATATGGTAAATCTTACAAGCACAATTCGAAAGAAAGAGTCATTAAATCTTATTGTACAGTAGCTTTAAGAAGTAATTGTAAGAGTGATCTGCTCTCAGATATAAGCTTAGAAAAAATCGAAATAATCTTTAGCGATTTTTCCTTTTATCTGAGATTATCGTTTAAAATCAAATGTAACTTTCAAAAAATTAATTATTGCAAAATTTCAAAAAAGTTCTTTTTTTCAAAGTAAATATGTAGTGACTTTTTCATGAATGCTCCTTCTTGATGTTTTAATAAAGACACCAGGCATGCATGAAATTCTTTGGTGATCGAGTCAAATATCTATTTTTATTTACACCTGTACCTTTATTTATAGCAAAGGGGTTTTCCTAAATTATATCGAGAGACTGTCTGTGGGTTTTTTTTTTCATGAATTCAAAGACTTTTGTTTTGATAATTGATCCAGCAAAGGAACATAACATCCACATTAATTTGAAAAGAATATCTATATATGGTCTTAATTTAATGGACATATTTGTCACTTTTTTATATCTTGAAATGAGGCACATCTTTAATTTACGTATACTGGAAGTCAATGTAAAAAAAATGGAATACAAAAGCCCAGCATTATATTAATATTATGTTCAATAAGAACACATACAAATAGGCATTCTCCCTCTATAGATTTTTTGTATAAGGAGGAGGGGGGATAAAGATGCAAGTGATACAGTTGAACATGACTTAACAGCTAATAATCTCTTACCATCCCTACTAGTCTAAGATCACTGCCGGTATTATATCAATGGAATGAATCATTGAACTGCAGTACTACACCAGTCTTCAATATTAACAACACTTTGTAGAAATACACACAGGTAATTGAACACATCCTTAATTAATGAACACGTCTGACATATTGCTTACAGAGCTGGAAAATATCTGAATCACCACAAGAATCTTATTTATATCATTGTCAATTCTGAAACCATGGTTACATTTTCTTTCCTTAACTTGAAATTTTGTGACGTTTTCCTGTGAGTTTGCTACAGTAACTAATAATAAGCCAGCAAAACAAAAAAATACTAATTAGATGAAAGTCTTTCTGATAAATTACTACAGTGTAGTAAGCTTGGTAAGATGAAAAGAACAACTGCTTTATACCACCTAATATATACAATTAGGGTATTTATTTAATGAAAGAAGGGGAAAAAATAAACTTGCTGACATGAAGAATTCTCAAAAACAGTGGTAGGTGGTTTAAGCTCTATCAAAGTTAAGCATTATACAGTGTATTGATATTATTGTTTTGGCATAAAAGGAAAAAAACACTCAAATATGCATGAAGTGAAGTACTTAAAATTATCTAATATGAATAAAATCAACAGATTACTTGTGTCTGACATTACGTTTTTTAAGATTGCAACGTCCTGATGAGTGATAGTCAGATACTGTCCCTGAACAGTGGGGGTACACATGCCTTACTTAAAAAGACAAATATGCAAGTGAAACACAGGCACTTGTTTCTGTAATAAATTTTTTACCCCTAGAATAATAATAACACAAGGTAGATGTATCTAACTCCGATTTACACTCAGTACCTCCTCCCTTAGAATCACGCTCATTAACAATTTCAGGGGAATTGCACTGACAAACTGTTTATTACCATTGTCTTCTACGATAATTTATCTACACTACCATATATGGCATGCATGTCTTTGTTTTCGTTTATCTCCGTAAACAGCATCAAAATTCTGCTCACCGAGTGGAAAAAGTCAAACTAATTTTAAACCATGAAGTGGTATGTGCTGATCCCACACAGGCATTTTGACTGGCTAAAAATCTACTTCTAAAATTACAGCGAAAAAATGTAGTGTTTTTGTGGAAAATGAGACTTAATCAAAATTTATTTGATCACCGACAATCTTAAAAAATCTATTTGATCATTTTTGACATATTTTGGAAAAAAAATCAGATTT